AGAAAGAAAGAAAGAAAGAAAGAAAGAAAGAAAGAAAGAAAGAAAGAAAGAAAGAAAGAAAGAAAGAAAGAAAGAAAAAGAAAGGAAGGAAGGAAGGAAGGAAGGAAGGAAGGAAGGAAGGAAGGAATTCCTTGATACATGAAAATAATGGAAATTTATTATAATGGATACAGAGAGGCAAGGGAAGACCTACTAGAAGTGATGCAAACCGAGGTCAGCAGAACCAAAGAAACAGCATGCACAATGACTACAATGATAAAAATAACAACAAAAATCACAATTGAATGCTTACAAATTTATAATGGCCAAGTTTGATCCCCTGAGAAGAGATATAAGACAATATTGTCCCTGCTTCTGAGCACAGACAGAGGTCCAGAGGGATGAAACCCTACATATACCAACAAAACATTAAATATTTTGGTTAGTTTTCCTGAATTATTTCCTTACTTTTTTAAGAAAAAAAATTATAATAAGAGACAGCTCTCTGTGAGGAAAAGAGGCATAAAGTGAGAAATTTAGATGATATAAACTATGTTAATAAAATTTTATACCAAAAGCAAAATAAAATAAAGTAAAATTTTACTTTTAAAAAGACAACATTGAAAATCACTGCCATTTATTCCCCCAAAATCTGTCAGAGAGAATGGAAAGATAGAGAAATTCACAGAACTAATGAAGATCCTCCAAATGAAAACAACACTGACTCATACTCTTAATTCGTTTTAAGGGGAGTCTAGATGTCACAGAAGATGGAGCACCAAGCCTGAAGTCAGGAAGAACAGAATTCATATCTGGCCTCAGACACTTCTAACTAGGTGACCCTGGGCAAGCCACTTAGCCCTGTTTGCCTCAGTTTCTCATGTATAAAATGAGTTGGAGAAGTAAATGGCAAACTACTCCAGTATCTTTACCAAGAAAACCCCAAGTGGGGTCACAAAGAGTCAGATACAACTGAAATGACTGAACAACAACGATTCATTTCAAATGGAAATAGGTAAATATGGCGAAAAACATTGAAAAATATTATCCCAGGAGAGGACAAAGACTTGCAGAAAATATTGAGGTTGCTTACTTATATATCTTTATATTTTCTTTTAAAAGCAGTTAAAAGATGTTGTGTTTGGGAAGCACCTGCTATAACCACAAAATTGATTATACTTTAACAGACAATTGATCCTCCCTAAGGGACGCAGGGGCCATTTTTTTATTTGGTTACACAGTATAGTAAGAACCTAGAGTCTTTAAAGATCAAAATTAATACAAGGCTCAATAAATAAAAAAGCAGGAAGGGGTAAAGCATGACATATGATGAATACAATGCTACCCTAGGGGAAAAAAAGGAATGTAATGAAATGAATGGAGGAAAACATTGACACCTATAGTAATAATGTAGCATAGAAGACTAGTCAATGTAAATCAATTGTCCAAATGAGGTGACCAAAAGGATCTAAAAATGGTCTTAGCTAACACTTGCTTACTTGGCTAAAGAAAAAAGAATAGAGAGAGAGGGAGTAGCCAAGTTCAGAAGGATGGTCAACAATTATGAACAGCATTGCCTTGGGAAACAATGAAAAATGTAGAGATAAGAAAAAATAATTGAAAGAAAATTTGATGAGAGACCCAGGAGTGATAACAAGAACACTTAAAGATAAAAATGGGTGGACAGCAACCAGATGAAAGATGGTTCTGTAAGAGGCTTTTTTGACTACCAAGTACAATGGAGCCATGACATTTTGATTCTAACAGCACAGTATAGAATGTGATGAGAGAGGAGGCAGAAATGATAATGAAGGATAGACATGGGAAAAGTAAATGGACTAAATCAAATGGTCAGAGAGGAGGACTGTGACAAATATGGCACAATTTGATGAACACAGAGGAATTCATTCTCAAATTAGCCGAAGGAGGGGAAGACAGCAAATGTTTTGCTGGCATTATCATCCCACAGGAAGCATGAAGACAGAATATAGAGCTTTGGAAAGCATTATTCCGCAGATGAATATACCTTTCCCTTTACACAACTGATTGAAAGATACAATGCTAATTCTGGCAAAAAGCAAACAGATTCATTTTCCTTTATACTGAGTGTTTGTGACTCTTTTATTCAAAACCAATGAAGTGTATTTTATGGACATTAAATTGGACATGTATTTATGGACTTGTATTTTATGGACATTAAAAATAAAAAAAAAAACTAAAACAAAAAAGCCCAACACTTTCTAGAGATTTTTTTTTCTTATTTGTTTGTTTTCAGTCAGAAACAATATATCAACTGTCTATTATTAGAAGACTCTAGAGAAGAGGACCTTAGAGGCTATAAGACCCCACTGATCTAAATGTTTGTTAATTATTTTTAAAAGTATTTTATTCAGCAAAGAAAAATTCTGCCTTGACTCTCTTTCAACAAAGTGTCTTCTGTACCTATGTCATGATTATGCAAGATTTCTTGAAATATCTGACAGATATTACTTTGTATGATAATCTTCTAATTATAAAAAATAGACAAGGCCTAAAACCCTAAGACTCACCCAAAATGAGTTTACTGCTGTCATGGAAGAGATCTAGCTCACAGACCAAGGTGAAGAGGAATTTCCCAATGAAGCTGAGCTCTTCAGATGGTGAAGGTCTCACATGACAGGCTGGTTGCATTAAGCCCCAGTACATTGCAGAACCTCCAAAATAAGATTCATAATCAACTCTGAAGAGTTCAACCTAATTATACATATGGTCAAAAAAGAGGAGGGGTGAAAAATGCTTATTGAATAACTGAAATTGATTCATCTGTCAGTTTATCTTGGATAGTCCTTGCAATGGAAAGTCATTTGGGCCCAGAATTGTACAAAAAGAAGAGTATGGATTATAGTGGGTTCTTTTTTTTCTTTGAAAAATTAGAACTTTTAGTGACCCAAGTCGCTCAAATCTGAAACAAATGTCCCATCTTTTTAATACCAAAATTCTGGCAATGACATGTGACAGTCATGTAATACTCTAATCCCAGAAGAATTAGAAGTAAGAGTTATCCAAAAGGCAATGGAAATACTTAGGGCCTGCAAAAGCAGTCACAAAAAGTTGCCATTTCTTTGTAAACTTTCAGCTATAAAGGAAATCATCAAAGAAACCCATGAGGGAAAAGGAGTGATCGAGTCTATAGCCAAAGAGAGAGAAAATCAATGGATGACCTACCTGCTCCACAGCTGTCTTCACTATGTCAAGAGAAATTGAAGAAGGAGCTGAGCACACTGTGGGCCTTGAGATGGCTACTTATGGAAGGAAATATGCAAAAGTTCAAAGGGCTGGGCAGCCATGGAAGAACTGTGACCCCTTTAATTGGAGAGAAGACACACATAGATGAGATTATAGAGGCACATGATTGAATATTATTGGATAACCAACAAGCATTTATTGAGTACTCACACTGTGCTAAGCACTAGGGATACAAAAAAAGGCAATGACTTACTCCTTGCCAAGTAGTTCACATCTGGATGGCAGAGACAACTTGTACATATATACTGGATACATAGAGTAGCTGGAAGGTCATTTTAGAAGAAAGGCCCTGGACATGAAGGGGGCCAGGAAAGGCTTCCTATAAAAGGTAGGATATGGGCTGATATTTGAAACAAGCCAGGGGGCAGAGATGAGAAACAAGAGCATTCCAGTCATGGGCAATGGCCAGGGGAAAGGTACTTTCTGAAATAGAGTATCATGAACAAGTAACAGCAAGAATGTCACTATAGGTAGATTATAGAAGATGAGAAGCAGAGTAAAGGGGGAGACAATTGGGAAGGAGACAGGAATGAAGGACTTTGAAGGTCAAAGAGAAGATTCATATTTGATCCAAGGTGACTGATGGTCTCTTAGTTGCCAAAGCCAGCGGCCTTT